AAAATTGTTTTGTAATTTTATTATATTATTATTATTAATATTGTTTAAAATTGTTTATTATACTAAGTTTGGATAATTAATTAAATATTAAGCAAATTTTGATATYATATTGTTTTGTTTAGTATATTGTTATATTATTATATTGTTAAATGAGCTAAGGCTTAAAGAAGGGAGATGTTTGATAATGTTATCAAATATTATTATTATTATTATTATTATTATATGTAAAATATTATTAATGTACTGGAAGTTGGTCACGGTTATCAGTAGTTTGTGACGGACATGCTTACAGTTCCAGATGCATGAGCTTTAAGTGAAATTATAAAAAATAATAAATTATTAATGATTAACATGTAACGCTGATGTCTTAATATTATTTCTTTTCATCCATTTGAATCTAAAATACAAAACACCCTATAGTACGCACTACGCGAGGCAAAAAGTGAGCCGCGATCGATGCGCGCCAAGTGGCCGTTTTTCATCAGGGCTACTCCAACTGGTTTCCCGCCTAAAATAATTTCAAACGACGTAATGTAGACTTTTTTATATAATAAAAATACAAATAATACATAAAATACAATTTTTAATTAAAAATTATCATCTTCATCATCGTCTTCGTCAGTAGAACTATCGTCAGGATTAATTGTGATAATAATAGGCTCCAAAATTTCGTCTCTTAAACATTCCTTTATCAAATCGTCTTCTTGAATTTTGTTGCAGTGTTCACCACATTTTGCCCAATCTTCTGTTGTTACTTCATTTAAAGCAATATATACTAACATTTCTACATCTGACATTCTGAAGGTGTTATTTTTTTCCGCGACTTTACCCTTAACTCTCGCCCAGATTAATTCAATTAGGTTATATTGACAGCGGTAAGGAGGAAGTCTTACCACTTCATGACACATTTGCAGTGCAATTTTGTCCAGCTTATATTTTTTTTCCTTTGGCATCAACTTTTTGACTTTTTCCCGTAGTTCGCTTAATGTCTCTACTGGAGAAAAGTCCATGGACTTGTTTTRTAACCATTTTTGTACATCTGCCTCGAGTATTTACCTTAGGGTACTCTTCTGTTGAGGTAGAATGGTATGTTTGTCCATCACGATTATACAAGGTTCTTCTAAATTGCCCAACATATCTATAAACCATTCATGAAAAATGGTCGCGTTCATTTGAGAATGATAGTCTGTCTGTGATCCCGACTTGCAATGAAAAACCAGTTTTGAGTTTTTGACGAAACCAAATGAAGGTGACCCTGCGTGACACACAAYAAGCCGACCGCCCTTTCCAATGGGTACTTTTAATCCTTCGGTGTTKTCGGAGTTTTGCCATATGTGTGCCTTCGCGTATGGTTTTGGTTTACCCATGTTTCGTCCAAGTAAACTATTGGCCTTGTGTCGTTATTACGTCTGAACTCGTTCATTTTTCCCAAAAATTTAACCCGAGAACAAACAATATTATTTCTTTCCATTAGAAACTTACGCCCATCATTACATTTTTTGTATTTGAAATTTAAACTACGCAAAATATGTCGCACAGACCATTGTGAACCCGAATAATTAATTTTTTCATGCAATACACTCATTATTTTTGCACTTGTTGGGTACTGACCATTATCATAAAAACTATGATCTTCTGAACTTCATTATCAAAATCGTCTAAGTTGGTCATAAGTTTGGC